CATGTCAAATTAGGGTAAATTTTTTTCTCTACAAAGTCACCAGAGAAAGACGCTACAGTGGATTCAGGAGAGATTTCTAGGGCCAGCTCTGCCTCTATCCACCCGTGAGACACGAGGAAAGCTCTCTCAACTCTCGTAAAGGCCTCAGATTCCTCAACCAGAAAACAACGGGGTCCACACGGTGAACTCTAAGCAGCATCCCCACAAAACAGGACTGTGCTACATTTGAGAACTTGAACTTAAAAAAAATCGAGAGCTATGAAGTATGAAGCTGGACACCCATCACCAATAACACTGATTACATAGAGTTCTAAGCCAAGGAATCACTGACCCCGCACTGACGGGATGAAGACGCAGGCCCGTTTCTCACCTGCTTTTCCAGCTACCGGAGCACGAAGCACGTCTCACTGCGCGCCCTGCGGCCGCGCCGGAGTGCACGGGCCGGACTGCGGCTGCGCGGTGACCCCTGCACACGTGCAGTCTATGGGCTCTAACAAACCCAAAACATACCTGAAATGAAAACGCAACCAAAATTTACCAGACCATTCACTCCTTTATGTGATGGACACGCAGACCTGGGCCTAACATACTTCACCGCACCAAGTCAGGTCCCAACATCCAATTTCCCTTTCAGATGTAAGTGCATCTTTTACAAAGCCAACACATATTTTCAAAAACCAAAATTCACCTGTATTAGATTCTACTTAGAAAAAATGAACATCTTCCCTGGCTCCAAAATGTTCCATGCCGGTACAAATTAAATGAAGACACAAGACTAAGTGCAGGAAAGTCTATCAGACCCCAGAAAGGCATATTGAGACTGAAAACCTGCTTCACATGGTTACCAGACAGATCTGGAAAGGATAAAGTCACGTTTCACAAAGAAACTCCCAAGGCTTTACACTGAGTTCAGTAACGCCAAATTTCCATAATGGGAATCTGAGTGTCAAACTAGACAGGGAAGAACCCTACTTGTAACTACTACTATGCATAAACGCTGTAGGAGAACAATTAGGCTGGTCAGAAAGCAGTAACTAGAACCAGGGAGAACTAACCTTCCTTGAGACAACACTGGAAGACCCTGCTAAGAACGGGGAAAAGCAGACGCGACAGAGCCACAGGGCAGACACGCAAGCTGACTGAAACTACACACTTCGATTCTCATGGTACTTGTTTCATATCACCTTGAAGATAAATGGATTATGACCTTCCAAAACACCAAAAACCGCCTGAAATTTTATCAATTCCTTTCCTTAACAGAACGAGGGCTTTTAACCACAGACACTATAATATCCGAAAGGTAAGATAAATTACGCATTTTATAACTCAAATCACCACACAGTGCACCCTGGTTTCCCGACTAAAGACACGACAGACACAAACAAGCTATCGAGCAAGAATCTGTTAACAGTTTTATTATTTTTATGTTAAATACCATGGGACAGGATTGTAAGGATGAAAAACTCAGTCAACAACTGCCTCACAAGGGGTAAGAAAATTCTGCCATGATATTAGCAAAGGTAAAGGAGAAAATTTACACTGTAGGAGGCACCATTTCCCCGCAGAACACCTCTTGGCATTTCCTGAATGAGTGGGATTAGCAATCTAAATAAATCATATTTCAAGAGGTAACAGCAACAGATAAAATTTAAAGGGATTATTAAAATAACATTTACAAGACTCTGAACAATTCTTGAACTCTTATTAAAACCACAAAGAAAGAACAATTCTTTATTTATGAATTTCATACAGGACTGAATGTGCAACTGGCATCTGCTAGTGATGGTCTGTGACGTACAATCTGTCCGGAGCCGAGCACGCTGTTCTGACTGTGTTTCTAACCGTAAGAGACCACTGAAGGCGAGGCCTATATGACGCTGTACACACAAATGGTCACCGTGGGCCACACTACCAGTGAGATGGCAGGTGAACAAATCTTTTTCTGGTCAAGAGGGAAAAAAAGAAACAGCACTCTGCATGCGCCACTCTACAAGATGAACTTCCCTAGAAAGAATCCAATGAAAATGGCTGCAATTACAACAAGAAGTGAAGGAAGGGGGCTGGTGACGTTCTCTCTGAAGGACGCAGCTGAGGTCGATCCAGGTTTTTCCGAATGTGCTACTTTTCTGAGCCTTAAGCCTTCATCCTAGAAAAAAATACACACACATAAAGAGGTTTGAAGAACAAACACGTGTAAGGCTACTGAGCTAACGATCTGCAGACAGAAAGCAGACTAGTACGCACACGACTGGGGCCAGGGACAGGGATCAGCTGCGAGCCGGCCTGAGAAACCTTCTAGCTCAAAAGAAATATTCTAAAACTGGGTCCTAGTGATTGCTACACAACTCTGTAAATTTACTAAACTCACTGAACTGTACACACATTCACAATGGGTGTCTCCGGAATGTAAATTACATCTCAGTAATGCTGATTTTAAAAAGCGGAACTGAGAAATACACCCCTAAGATTAACACAGTTAAAGAAGAGGTCTGTGCAGGCGCCACCTCCCAGGCGGGCCGCGGCATCTTCACACGGGCCACACCTACCCTAGCCCCATCAGCCAAAGACGCCCGGAAACAAAGCCAGGGCAAAGGCGGCCGGAGGTCGGTTTACCGACTCACTGCCATCAGGGCACCTGCCCAGCAGAGGCACAAGGAAGAGACAGGACTTTACAGGGCTTGGGGGAGAGAGAGGTTCAGGATGAAGCAGAAACACCGCGTTGTGACACGCTCAGAGTCAAGCAGGAGGGCTGCGTGTGTGTCTGAGGGCCAGCGCTGGGTCTGGGCTGCAGAGGAGACAGAATCCTGCTTCGTGGAGACTACAGACACGGAGACTGGGGTGCGGGGTGCAGAACCTGCCTGTGAGGTTCTGCTGCTGGACTGGGGAGGGGGGCTGTGTCTGCATCGGTGACTGCGGCCCACCCCCCGGCGAGAGTGGGCTGCTCTGCTCCTACTGATACGTTTTCACACGGCAAAGTCTCTGACAGTCCATGATTTTCGGGGCAAGGTCTCTCATCAAGAAAACAGCTGTCATTTGAAGTAGGAGGCTGTTACGACACTTAGCAGGTATAGAATGACCATGGGGAGAGTGATGACGCCCATTTGCCGGGGCAGCTGGCTTCATCGGGCGCAGACCCCGACCAGAGGAACGGCAGGGCAGGGCTTCCACCTCCTTGGCGCAAGCTCATGCTTACGCACCCACTCTGATTCCTCCAGTGTGTTCACTAACACCGACCAAGAGTCCACCTGATCTCACACTGCTTCATGTGCAGTACTGGCTCTTCTGACGGTTTGTGGGCTCTGGCTAGGGGTGGGGCACCGCAACCAGGACGTGATCAAACTGGGGGAAGAAAACAGAACTGCAAGAGGATAAAGCTAAGCAGGACAGGCAGGCACAGCCTCCGGCGCACTCACCCTCAGGTGCCGG